TCTCCTAAGGCGGGAGAAGGAGCCCTGAGCCCTGCGACTCTCAGTCACCCACCCAGCGGGTGGCGGGGAGACAGTAAGGGCTGGGATGGGGGTGAGTGTGGGTGGGGTCTCTGCGCATCCCAGCGCCTGGGTCTCCTCTCCCCGCCCAGGGCCCTGCCCCCATGGCCTCGCCTCCTAGCCGGGGCGCTGGCGGGAACCACGGCTGCTTCACTCACCTACCCCCTGGACCTGGTCCGAGCCAGGATGGCGGTGACCCCGAAGGAAATGTGAGTCCTCCGAGGACGGGTCCCTCCCTCAGGCTGCCTGCGCCTGCGCCGGGCCTGTGTCCAGGGCGGAAGAGGCTGCTGGGATCTGCGCCCCTACTCCACCTGGCCCCCCGGGGCAGGCCTGGTGGGCCTCTCTCTGGGCTCTCACCCCCCCCACAGCCTCTGCTTCGATCAAACCGAGGGTCTCCTTTTCGAGTTGGGCACAGATCCACTAAAACAGAAGTAAGACAAACCAGGTGTGGTGGCGCACACCTGAGAGGCTAAGGCAGGGGGATTCGAAGTTCAGATCTTGCCTGGATAACTTCGCAAAGATTAGCTTCAAAGTAAATAAAAGATGGGCCGGGGATTTAGCTCCGTGGTTCTGCCACCTGCCTGGCAAGCGCAAGGACCCAAGTTCGATTCCCCTATACCAAACAAATAAATAAGTAGAGATGTCTGGCGTCGTGGCGCACGCTTGTTATCCCAGCAATGGGGAGGCTGAGGCAGGAGGATCGCTGTGAGCTTGGGAGCAGCCTGGGCTACATAGTGAGTTCCAGGTCAGTCTCAACTACATAATGAGACCCTGTCTCAAAAAAACCAAAAATTAAATAAATAAAAGGGGCTGGAGATGTGGCTCGTTGGTAGAGTGTCCCTGCGTTTGATACATGTGCGCGCACACAAAGCAGGGAAGCCAGACCCAGGCCCAGCTGCTGCAAAAGGTGCCAGTGGTTAGCGAGTATGTCGCCGCTTCCACCCGCTCAGCCCGCTGTCCCGGCAGGTATGGCAACATCTTCCACGTCTTTGCTCGAATCTCGCGAGAAGAGGGGCTGAAGACGCTGTACCACGGGTTCACGCCCACCGTGCTGGGCGTCATTCCCTACGCTGGGCTCAGCTTCTTCACCTACGAGACGCTAAAGAGCCTGCACCGAGGTGAGGAGCAGTCCCTGGGGACAGCGCCCAGCCAGGGCCAGCGGGCCCGGGGGCGGGGCAGGCTGGGGACCCAGAGTCCAGGTCAAGAGAAGACACACTGTCCAGCCACTGCTGGCAGCCCGCTGCCGGCCTTAAATGTCTCTTGGGGAAGGGGTTGTTTGGTTGTTTGGTTGGTATTTGGAGACAGGTTCTCACTGTGTAGTCCAAGCGAGCCCTGAACTTGCAATCCTCCTGCCTCAGCCTCCGAGTAGCTAGGATTACAGTCCACACCACTGAGCCTGGATTGATGCTGCCTTTGGACAGTGGCTTTGTAAAGGCCAGGTTGTCCCCAGAGCCCCTGGCCACTTCCCCTCTGAGCATGCGGGAAGCCTTGGCTGCCTTGCTTGTCTTGGTTCTTTGGGAGAGAACCTAAAATACCGGAAAGCACAGACTCTGGCCCCACCCATGTGAGCCGGTGGCAGCATCTTGTCCTGTTGGCCCTGTTGTTAAAGTGTTGTGGGTAATGGTAAAGCCAATGCCAGGTGTTCCCGTGCCTGCTCCTCTCCTTTCTGTGGGGGCCTCTGGCTCCAGCCCCCCCGGGATACCCTTGATGCCCAGGTGCCCTGTATACCGGGTGGATGCGCAGAGCTGCAGAGAAGTCTCTAGATCTTCAGGACCCTGGCTGGGTTTTTAAAAATAGTTTCATTCTGTGGTCAGTGGACTTAGTGGTTTCACTTTCTGGAACAATAACTCTTGTTTTGACCGTGTGGGGGATGGAACCCAGGGCCCCAGGAAGCTATGCCCGCAGCCCTAGTAAGGTATTTTGGGAGAGACCACATTCATATAACTTTTATGACAGCATTCTGTTATAGTTCTATTTATAGTCAGTGACTGTGAATCTCTTCCTGTGCCCATTTTATAAATCAGGCTTTATCATAAGGATGTATATATGGGGAAAAGCCTATTCTATTGCTGGGCGTGGTAGCCTTGGGAGACTGAGGCAGGAGGATCGCATGTTTTCAAGAGGAGTCTGGGCAACTTAGCGACCCTGAGTGACCCTGTCTCACGAAGTACAAAGAGGGCTGGAGGTGCAGCTCACCACACAGTCCTTGCGTTCACTCCCCACAGAGCTACACACGCTTTGGTGCTATCCATGGCTCCAGGTGTCCGTGGGCGTCTTGGGATGTGCCCCAGGGGTACGCGGGGTCTCCTGCACATGTCGCATGAGTGCTGTCTTGTTATGGTTCACGGTGACGAGAGTGCCTGGCGTCGGGCCGGGTGTAGCTCGGTGAGGGCCGGCCTCGCGTGTGTGCGGTCCTTCCGGGCTTCCGGCCCCTGTCCCTGCCCTCTGGCGTCCACTCATGCCCTCACCCCACGCCCGCAGAGTACAGCGGCGGCCGGCAGCCCTACCCCTTGGAGCGCATGATCTTCGGGGCCTG